TGAACATGCAAGCTTATGTTCGTTTTATCCTCTAAAAATAAAGAGGTAAAATGTTTACTTAGGAATGGAAGATAAAGTGAAAAGAGTTGGCCTTTTCCGAGCTCTGTTCCAAGTATCGTGATCTGCCATGCCTAGTTGGAGTGCTTCTACGTGTAAACAAAACGGGAACTGATCCGCTCTTATCTGGTTAAACTGGAACGAGCGTTAGTCAAACAGGTACACGGAATCGCTTTTTGTTCAATTGTTTGCTTGTGTGAACTGAAGATGCCTGCTCTAATTTGATATGCAAATAAAATTTTGCCATAATTTTGGCGATTTCGAAGGAACTACTTTACCCGTCTGCCTAATTAGAACTGCCGTTTGCAACACCCGTGCTTTCAGCACAAGGTTTGTTCCTGGGTTTTTTGGTAAACGTGTATTGGTGTTTTAGTGCAAGTCAGCATTCTTGCAGATTACGTCTGCTACACATGGCTTATGTTAGCCACGGAACTTGGAAACTCTATTCCGTACATCCGTTTGGATGTGCTTACAACATTGTCGACGGTACTTACAACATGTCGGCACTCTCCGGCATATAATTTTACACAAAACCAGTGGGAAAATAAGCAAGGTAGCACATCTGCTGTGACGTTGCCGTCCGTTTTATGCAAGGATACAGAGTTTAGGTCGATCTCAATTAGGAGCCTGTCGATAGCATGATGAACTAAACCTTCTTTAGTACCACCGCAATAATAATAGAAACACCATTATCATCACCACTTTTGCAAACTTTTGCTGAATATTCAGCGATGAAATAAAACACCAGGTACATCCCGAGCCTCGATAGCAAATGCACACAACAAAGAGTTTCATCAGGATAATTTAATAATTTAATGGTTCATATTTTGCCAACTGCAAAAAAGTTGCAATTCATTCATTTGAAATTTTGCTGGTGGTTTTCCGTCCACAGGTCTGCCACTGAAAGTGTACAAGCATGTTTATTCCGACGCTTCGGCGACCTACCTTTCCCTATAAGGCAGGGTGCTGTGTAAATGTAAGGCAAGTGGCACTTGATCACTGAGCTTTGGAATAAAATGCAGCGTCTATATTGCAGTTTATGCTCGTTAGGTATGCTTTCTTGCGTATACTAAGTCGTGGAAGGCTTGTGAACGATTAGTTTACTATTACCCCCCGGCAATTTTACGGAAATAGCTAGCTCAGCTGAATTCCGTTTTCTTATAATTTTTCCCCAAGACACTGCTAATCTCCTGCACAAACCTTGTTACCAGTATAGGAGACGCCGCAATTGCGCTACTAGTGGCGATGCTCTCTTTTCGATTGATTAGGTTTATGAAATCGCCCTACTTTTAATCACTAGTATGTCGAGTGGGTTTGTTGGCTGTTGGTAAAGTGACAGCTGATTAACCGCCAGTTCTAACTAGTTTGTCTGTGGGCAGCCATTGGATACACCGTGTATGTTCACTCAACCTAGTGTTGTTTGCTCTCATCTGGTTACTCAATTCAAGCTCATTGTTCTTTTATTCACTAGTTTATTTTTCTCTGCATGGAAGCCAACTATTATTGTGTTTCGGTTGGCTGACCGCTTACAGTTGTTGCTTGGGGTTTCCTACACTAGACTGCCATTTTTATTGCATTCAGAAGCTTCCGTGGAACTACTTGTTGCACTATGCTCACTGAGTCGATATATCCATTGTCGTGGCAAATAAGTGTGTGGCTAACATCTGAAGTTGTAGTTTTAATTCACGCAGTTGTGAAAGTCACCATTTTGTACTGATCTTTCAATGGTTTCAGTTTGTGTCAATAAGGTTTGAGCAGGTTGCAAAGTCACTACTTAAGTTTTTAGATTGGCACTTGCTGACCTAGAGGACGAGTGAAAGTGAGCAGTCACAAATTAACCTTCTGATTCTTCATGAAGCACAGGATAGATACAAGCGTCAGGAATGATTAACAACGGGAAGTGGTCTATTCAGCGCGTCACCTTGATTGGTGTCAACCAACTGTAGTCCGATCGTTAGATGTGGTCAGCAACCTGTACAGCAACTTCTTGTTTCATATCTGCTAGGACAGGCGAAATGAAAATCTTCAACTTCATAAGATGCCTTGTGCCCGGGGACCAATATTTGATCGATTGATTTGTTGTGTCGAAGTGTTTTATTGACTTTCGGGACGTTTCATTCGGTGGAAAGCTGTGCAATTCGCCACTTCAAGTTTCTGAGTTGAGTTAGTGGGCTTGGGTTCAACAGAAAACACCGCGACATAACGTGAATATACGATGCGCTCATACGCGTCTTCCGAGCTCACTTTGCAACGCTTTACTATCCCCCACCTAAATGTCAGATTGCATAGGTGCTTACGTTAACAAGTTGCAAGTTTTAAAACCACATGCTACTCACTGATGCTATTTCAGGTGATAAAAAGACATCCTACCACTGTCCTCGTCTCCGAACTCTCACCATTCGATGTTGTTATCTTAATTTTTCGGTAATTTTTAACTCATTTTGCAGCAAAAATGCTTGTTCTTACCTCTCGTAAAATGGCCTATGCATGTACATTATGTACCGTGCAAATGACAATCTCGATTGGTTTTTCCTCTCCAAAATTGCCTGCTCCATCGCCTACAAACCCCTCAAATCTGCAAAGCATGAGTTCTAGCAATGAGACTAAACAGAATAGATTTGACCACGATAATTTCACCTCGAAATGCCATCGTTCACTCGCTTTTTGAAGCGTAATCGCGATACTTTAAACATTAGTTTTCCTTACTCAAACGATAGACCACATAATGATCAACTAATTACCTAGTCTTTCAGGACTTTCACTAAATCCGAAGGTTCTTCGGCCTAAACCACTTGAACTGTTGGGTTCTCACGTCCACCTACAGCGTTTCTATCACATAACTGACAACTCGATTGACTGTATGGTAGACTTCCATAGTTTTCCGAACCCAACTAATACCCTGCCTCCGAAAGGTCTAATAATGCTTATTTTCATCTTTGTAAAAAAACGTTTTATCTACCTTAACAAATAAGATCTTCGATCCGAAACTTCCTCAAGGTCAGTGAGCACAAGGGAAAATGGATGTGTATTATTCACAGCTTTGACAAACTTTACAATGCTGTGGAAGAACCTCCGCTACTGTAAAGGATTGAGCATGTCATCAGTTACATTTTTTTCACTTTTTAGAAATGTGTCCAGCTTTTAGGCTTCTTCTATATAACAGTTCGGACTTCTTGGACGTTGCTATGGAACGATCTACTCCATCCCCTTGAATTTTACTGTTTTAACTTGGTCAAATGTTTTTTCCTAATCTTCTCTTTCACCCGCATCACCAGAAACGTCCACCATCTGCTCTTCCATGTCATCAAGCCGGTCACGATAAAATCAATAATTAGAATCCACTTGTTAAACAGTTAGAAAATCCAATCAAACTTCATTGGTCATTATTAGTTTGTAAAATTTAGCGTTAAAACTTGCACCAGCTCGCTCATGGCTGTTTTATTCATCATTCGACGTGAGGCACATCTGAATACACTTGCAACTTTCTATATAGTATCTGTACTGCAACGTGAATTTAGATTTGCGCAAAACAATTATCAATATTTAGCAGCGACGTTTACATCGCTTATATCACGAAAAACAAATGCCGCGAGATATAGAAAATAGGATATCTTCAGCGACTACCGGTGAGGATTCAGACACAACCATCCCCGAACTTCCTCAGCTATCACTTCCACACTATCTGATCAATGGGAGCAAGTAACTAAGTAGTGAGTGTGTAGATATTCCGCCAACCTTCATCCCTGTCTTACATACTAACTCATTTCCGCATATCTTTAACCTACATCATGCTTCAGACAAATGGTGTCTTCCACAGTAACAGCATCCGGTAAACGACGTTTGATGAAGTTATTTCATCATCAGAACTATCACCGAAGGAATTCACTTCGGAACGTGTCTGCCACTGGTCTGTTTCCACCCCATGTTAGTAATCTTCTCCCACCTGTTGCTTGTTTAAATTTTCAAGGTGTTACCAAGAACATTTAGACTAGCGATACGATGATACAATGATACACTGATTCAAAACCCTATCCGTCAAGGCGTTCTGAATCTTCGCGGATTCAGGCAACACATGATATAGCCATTGGGGCCATCAGTTCAGACTTGGAGCGGTTAATTCCTAATATCATAATAGCAACCGTGGTCTGTGCGGACCTAGCCCCTGACCGTGTCCACAAACAGCAGCACTACGGGGTGTTTTTGAAACTGACTGACACGGTCAGAGGCCATCCCTGTAAAGCAAAGTTTTTGTATAAACTAATTTAAGCCCAATTTTGCGTGTACGGCCCTTGACCCTCTCTAGTCTCTCCGTAAATGCTATGTCTCCCTCGCATTCCTGCACACCCTTATTAATGTCTGTCCTGTGAATTTACATTTCATTTAACTTTCGTTAGTTATACATTACTTGTCTGCTCTTCTGATTTACTCGCGTAAAATCTCTCGCAACAATGCCACAAAAAGTGGGAGTTCTTTTCTGATTCCTTAATTCAGAGGTGATATTTATTTGATTCTGTGACCGTTTTTATTATTGGGATGAGTTTCACCTCGCTGTTTCTTCTGCGCAGTATCTAGTCCGGATGAATGACTTTAGTGTTATTGGCACTATCTACTTCACGGTTCACATCCAATTTGGTCTTGCCGGTAATGCTACAAAAGATACTGTTCTAAAATAATCTTCTCACTTTGCATCTCAACGCATCGTTTGTAGATCCATTCACCTCAGTAACTTCGATATCCAAGAGGCAGCATTCGCCCACAAGCGTTTATTGACAGTGAGTTCTGCATTCAGATAATGGAAAACCCCCGAAGATATATCTTTCCAAACCTGTCAAGACTAACACAATTTCTCGCATTTTCTTGATCCCTTAACTAAAATCTGCATATTGCTTTCTCCGTTTGTATCTTTTCAGGGATATTTTAGAACCATATTTCCGCTCCATTCCATGTCTCCCGACAAGGAGCCCCCGAAATTCCGTCTGATAAGCGTACCCATGGTCAAATGCAAGCCTCCGAAATCTCCAGTTACGTTAGCAAGCAGCTCAGGATTTGACGACCCCAGACTCCGTTTTTCCCTCGTTGAGGCTGCTCCAAACATCGTGAACCTTTGCCACTTATCTCATCCTGCCTTAGCAATGTGCTGTGACCAGCCGGTGAATGCTTTTGGAGAAAACCACACTGCGGGTAACGTACTAGCGGTCATTCTACATCACTTCTTTCCATTTTTGGCTGTTTTCTATTTTTTGCACCACATCTTATGCAGCTAGATGCTTTAAATGTTGTAAGCTAGTGAGAAGTTAGTTGCTGAGAAGTTACCTACCGATCTCAAACAAGATGCTTTCTTGTATCTTGTAAATTCAATGGGAGAGCCATTGTTGATGTCGATTGGTCTCTCCAAATTTTGCCAATAATGCATATTTTGATAATATTTCATTCAAAGCAGAACACAATTTCAGCCACTGTCAAGTTGCACATTGGTCTGTCCACACTTCTTTATAGAGGACCTAAATGGGAATGTCTCATTGCAGTTTTCCAAGAAGCTGTTGTTGCTCCCGGTTATGTAACTGCCGAAGAGAAAACCGTACATGCTATCTTTTCTGAGGAGATTGTTGACTTTGATTGACTTTGCTCATGTAGTCGTTGAGTTTTTTTTACATTAGAAAAACAAACACATGTCAGATGGCTTGTTAACAAGCGAAACTAACTAACTAAGGAAACTAATTTGTGATTTTATAAATTTCCGTCTTATTTGTATCCGCCGTTTCGTAACTCAACGTGCGTGGGGTATAAAACACCTTCCAATTATTTAGAGCAAATTATTTAGAAATACCATCAGGAGAGCTTTCAATTGTCACTGGGCGCGCAAAAATTCACACTAGTCATATCAATAAACCAATGGATTTTTCACGCTCGCAAGTAGGTTTTGTATAACCTGACAGCCATCATTAAAGCACTCGGTTGTAATGATCAAGGAGAAAAGTTGTTTTAATGTTTGCTGCAGCTGGCAACTCATGTCACTTATTCGCTTGAGTAACTGCAGCATTAATCGGATAGCTGAGGTTTCTGGGAACGATTTCGAACACCGTCTTTAAGACATACCAACAGAATCGACCATAATATTAGGATCCGAAATTACCAACACGGCCATCTTTCCGCTGAAGTACAGATGAGCAAGTCTCACATGGTTTTCCAAGGAACATCATCAACACTCCCAAACTGTAATTAATATCGACAACCACGATTTTCGACTAGCCTGTATTCCAACTCTCATTTGGCATCGGACTCCACTTATTTCTGGACTTCTAGACGAAAGTCGTTGGACGGACCGGCTAACGTGATTGTTTTCGCCTGCTTGCTAGTGTAAATTTCAATAGCTATTCCAAGTTCTCTCAACATAAGTAGATTCTCACCTCAAACGGGCTCATTAGAAACCGTTTTAGCGCCATTATCGTTGAACATATTGTTATCAGTTTGGTTTTATTTCATTTTCTTCATTTCTTTGTTATAATGCCGGTTTATTCAGCGGGTACACTTAATTTGTGGAATTTCTCATAAAGAGGAAATTCTTTGTTTGGTTTTCCAACGTTGCAGATTTCCATCCAGAGTATTTCAACACTATTCCCTTGAAATCAACAGTACAGAAAACCCGTGCGCTTGCGGCACACAATTCGGTTCGAGGCTTCAGGGAAATACCACCTAGTTCTGAGTTGATTCACGAGTTTGCATGTCGCAGCAGCAACCAAGTTCAAACGGGATCGTGTAGGTGTTCCACCCTAGAAGAACCGATCTGCCCAATCGTGCTACAACATGATCCAAAATTTCCGAAGGAAACTAACCGTTGTTCAGAGGGTTCACCCACGTATCAGAGTGTTCCATTCTCAGGGAACAATGTTCAAATAAATGGAGATCTAAAGCCACGAAATACTGAAGAGAAGAATGGAGGGGCTAAACTCGAGGTCACTAACTCAGATGAAGGGAATCTAGTGCTTAATGATCTTGACCGCTTGTTGGATGAATTATTTGGACGGAAAAAGCTTTTGCTTGAAAAACTCTCACAGGAAGAACAAAAATTGGAAGAATTGAATAAAAAAGAACAGGTAAATTTCTAGGCGCACTTTTGGTCCTCGCTTTATTTCCGGCCAGTCTAGTATGACAGGTGACATAATTATTTGGTAAACGGTTGTGCCGCATTATTTGTATATAACATTTTTACCATCAGTGGCCAAATTAACACGAAATACTAGCAAATAAGTCGCCTAACATAGTGGGTTAAAACAGTGACTACGTAAAAGTTGCACTATCCTAAAGAGCAAAATAAACAAAAAATAAACAAAACAAGAAAAACAAAACGAGACTGCGTCTTACAAACGACCAGATGCACTTTTCCAACCCACAGAATTTATTTGACATTCAGGAAGAAGATTTATAGATTAAAATGGTGGGATATGTGTGCAGTATTTTACATCGAATTTCGTCAGACTCGGTTAGGTAAAGCTGATTTTTACCAGATATATCAATGCCGATTTCACTGCAAAATCGATAAGTAGTCTTAAGAAAAACTGATCTAACCAGTAACTGCGACTAAATTAACCAAATATTGGGGCACTCGGCGCTCCACGCTAACGTAATTCGAAATTCGGTCAGCACTTTCCATTCTAGGGGGATATAATCTCGTTCCTGAATACTTCGAATTGGGGTAGAATAGCCTTGTTTGCGGCCAAAAGATCAACTGATAGTGAGCAAAAACAGGATCGTTATTATTGCTACTCAGTCACTGCTTATATGCCTAATTAAGCGTGGAAATGTTCATTCGTCTAATTTTTGCCGGGAAAAACACCATATGATGCTGTTATTTTATCAAGACATTCGTTGATGTTGGTTTGGTAACGTCCAAATCTATTTGTTCGGACGTCTAATAATGAAAATATGTAATACAACCAATTCACGTGCAGTGACCTTCAAGTAACGCCCACTTACAAAATTCTTTTTGAAAGTTAAGATTTTGCCTGCGGAACATAACGAGGTGGTAATCTACTCCGCCCGTAGCATAAAGATTGATTCTATGAAAATTTGTTTAAAAATTGCAATGCACACTTCATCCTGTTCCACGGAGCTGTATTTCTCATTAATATAAAAACTAATCTTTCTTTTATGCTGACCAGGATTAACGACCTGAATGCTCTGTAGCTGGAGTTTAGAAATGTATGAGTTCGCAATGTATGAATTCTGATTGGAGCCCGGTGGCGAAAAGTCACTAAATTATTACTTCTTTTGTGAAGGGCAGTTCACTACACTTTATCAGATAAAAAACAACTGCGGCTTCTATTTTTCATGGGATACGTTTTTTAAAGAAAGTCTATATATGTGTGAACCTGGAAATTTGAAGAGCCCACACTATTGAAAAAATCGAGATATGTGTACGATTTCCGCAGACCATTTCGGTGCAAGGGTGAGAAATTCCCTTAGCACGCACTTTTTCGACAGCCCTATAACAAGTAATGTCCGTTTGTACAAACGTATTGCCTATGGGGCAAAGCAGTGGTTCGTCTGATGCTAGAACTCGTATGTATATTTTCTGAGAACTCTTCGAAAATCAAGTTTCAGTGTAATCGTTCACCCGTGTGCGATGTTGCATCTATCACCGTAAACCTTAAAGCGACATAATCAATTGGGTGAAAAAACAAGCAGAATATAGTAAAATCACCTTTCCAGTAACATATGATGTTCAGTAGAACTGCCGGTTTCCAACTTTTGATGCCATTAGGGACAGCATGAAACAAGCTAACTACTGAGGTGCCTCGGAAGCAGCCTACGAAGGTGTATTTATCCGTAGAAGCGTCATGTTTAAACTCTGAGGTGATGTATTGGGAAAATAAATAATTCGATATCCCTTATATCTATCAAAATGGAACCGAATATGCCCTTTATGCAGAAAACTAGTTCGAAGCAACTGATAAACATGGAATTTTGCTGTTGCTTTCCGTCAAAACTAGTTATGAAAATGAGTTTTGACTCCATGATGCAAACTGTTGACTAGTTGTTTAGTTCCTCTCAGACAGATCAAAATGTAGTCTCAAGTTTAGACCGGTCCGGAGTTAATTTCCATCTATTGCGCATGAAATGTTTTGAAGATGTGAACTTAACTCGTTGATCACATTTCTGGTAAATTTCCTCTTCTGAGTGAGCTTCCTTCGTAGACATCTGTTCTTGAGTTCCCAAGTACAAACTTTTATGCTTTTAATTTATCACGATGCGATTTATCTTCAGCAATTGAGACCTACTCTATTGCATTACTACTGTGTTTTTGTAGAGTAAAGCATGAAAATGTTCAACATCAGATGACAACTGAAACAACTCATTTCGTGCGACCCTTTGGGAAGATATTTACTTTCCGGATTAACTAAAAGTATTGATGAACTTGAGGTTCGAATTATGTGATTTACTTTACAAGACTATTTGTCAACTAAACTTCATGTTCGCAGTAGTTACTAGGTTACACGCTGGAAAACACACATTATATTACACATGTGAGTTGCTTATGAGCGCGAGCCCCTGAAATTTCGGTAGCTATGTTTAGGAATTACTTGTTAAGTGCTCTAGTCCACTAAAAGGACGTTGTATATGTTAGCCCACACACACATGAGACGTGTTCCAAACATGGGTGGGCTAACGTGATGGCCTAAAGACTTGGCTAACGATTTTCCGACAATGATAAAGAGTTCACAGTGAGCTATATTAATGACCGTTTAACGTTCAAACCTAAAGCAACAATAAGAAACAAACTAAATAGGAAAAATGGTAAGTATGTATGTGGTTGGTTAAGGCTAAGCTGGTACTACGTGATATCATTGTGTTGCGGATTACAAATGTGTGAACAATTTTGAAAAAGATACGCTTTTGTTATTGTTGCGGATTGGTTTTGAACTGTGGTTACAGTCGGAATGTAAGCAATCTATTTGCTATTCGAAGCTGAGTTTCATATCTACGTTATAACAGTGAGAGCATTTAAATGGTGTCCCGTTTCATACGCAGAGAATCTCCTAACCGATGTTGCGACATGCAATCCTTCAGAGTAATTTTATCAAAAAGAAATTAGTCGCTCTGGGCGCAACTGGGTCACACAAATTCATGAATCCGCATTTGTCCAATAATGAAACCAACCGGGGTGTAACTCGTGGAAGGTGACTTATTGAAGCTGAGCAGAATATTTATAGAGTTCTCTGGTGCAGCGATTTTGGTGGCCTCATCTGAAACAGTACAGCACTGTTCATCACCACCAACCGGATATACTTGCATAGCGCGCTTCAAAATGTCAGTTATGAGTGCGCACTTATGGACGACAGGTAAAACCCTTGTACCACCCGTACCTCACCACAGTCACTTACGAAAAAGCAACGTTTGCTAAACTTGTACATGTTTCCGGTTATTTCAGGACTTACTAGCCGCAAATATCAGAGCTCTTAAACTCCTTCCATTACTTCATTCGCTGACTGTTTCAGGCTTTGGCTCGCAGACGTAATATTCAAAATGGATCAACAAATAACATTCCAAACGGACACCTACATACTAGTCTGTCGGACCTGTCTTCAAATGAATTCAGAGTCTCTTCAATATCTGGAGCAGCCACATGTCTTCGACCACCATTCAAATGGAGAAATTCTCGACGTTCTAAAAGTGCACATGAACGGGCGCCTGAAGTGAGCTGCATTTTCTATAGGTTAAGATAAACAAACATGTCACCCTTAAACACGGAAACCTCTAACTTCGTATTGCGGGAAAATGTAAACTCCGTGTCGCATCTTTTGAAAAACCAAGGTGCAGATATAGTTTCCTTCCCGTCCAGAAAAAATACCCAAGTCAAAATTTAATGGTATAACGATGAGTCAAAGAATTGCCCTGAACATTTCTCACTTTGCGACGTCCTTTCCGGTAATGATGAATCCCAGTAAATTTCTATTCAAAGTTTCAATGTTAACAATGATTATTCGAACCCAGGATGAGAGCATTACTGCGTTGGGCTGGCTGCAGAAGGCCCCAATATGTTCCACTGTTTTTTTTAAGAAAAGCCTATTTCTGGTGTGTGTTAAAGGACTCAATTCGTAAAACGAACAAATCAAAAGACTGTCGTCTGTACACTTAAACAAGAACATATGGCCAGTAACATTGCTCATCCTTACGTTGATGGTAACGTTATTTCAGACGGCCTTTGAACCAAGGTCATACGAAAATAAGTGTGATGAATTGTCCCTAGTTAATTTGATTAATTTTATCATTCAGTGCATATTGCGTCTGAAATAACCCGAGCTTCATTGGAAAACGTAATGGCCAGTTTACTAAAACTGTTTTCTGTATAATTAGCCATAAGGACACACATTTATGCAAAATTATATTAAGTTTTTCACTATTCTGCCAGTATTGAGGCTTCTAAACTTGCAGTTAGTGTAAACAGTAACCTGAGCATTAATTGCAAGGCAATTTTCTGAATGTAAAGGTCATACTCCATTTGGAAACAGTAATCAGTTGATAGAGGTGTAAACACTTATTGGTGTTGACCAATCTCTGTTTTCCTAACTTAAAACAGAATGTTTAGCTCTTATTCTGAGTCCAAAATACATCAGTTTTTTAGAATGCATTGTTGAAACTAAAGAGTTCCCGCGCATGTTCTTCAGCAAACTTCCAGGTTGACTAACTAACAAAGGCCTTGGCCATATTCGCTTGTAAAATTATCATCCTGAAGCTATTGCTATATACGTATTGACAAGGTAAAGCATAAGCAAAAGATTAATACGAGGTCATCGAACCACAAGTTTTCCTATATCAACGAATATGAGTTTTGAGTTTTCGTGTAAGATTTTCTCTTGTGAGACTCGCCCCAATATAACTACCGTTTTCATTTCAGTCAGCAAGTCCACAAATGTATCCAGCTTATCGATACTCGGATGTCAGCAATCCATTTTATGCTCCTTCCAATCCAGAGAAGCGAGAAGTGATGGGGAGCCGCATTCCCCCAGACGAAGCCAACCAGGCCAATATACCAAAGCGATTGATGAGATGGTTGAGACAGAACCGGCGGCGAGCTACCGTGGGAGACAGTAGGCGTCAGTCAACAGGTTTCTTTGGAGTGGCAGATAGATCGCCACCCAGTAAAGGTGGACAAACACAACGGACCCGAGGGAGCAGTATGCCTCCCGTAGAACGCAACAAACCAGTTAGTGCTGACATAATACATGCGGGAAACGATCACGCAACCAAGAACCAGTCTAACTGCCCTATGCCCAACATGAATCAGATCCATTTTAACACCAGTGCTGCTCCAATGCACAATGGGCAGTTATATCACATCCGACCCATCACAGTACCAGGCACATATACATTTGTATTACAGAATGAACTGGAATTCGGTCATGCACATACACGGGTGACCATGGATGGCAACCATGCTCCTTCCGCTGAAGACAAGTTCACGAGCATTCGAGTGAGTCAGTCAATATTTCAGACAGCCACCTTTGATAAAAATGTCCGAGGTAGAATTGAGCCATTCTGTGAATACATGAACTGGTCGGTTACCCGAGTTTCTGGACGCATTTTATGTATGACGCAGTGAGCCACACACAATGGAGACAAAACATTCGAAAATGTCAGCTGCTGACTCTGAATATGGGGCTGGTATCCGTGTAGAAAATTAATAATTCTTACTCCAGTGTTTCATTTAGCCAGCAAAATAATGGTAATTCGGAGTTACCTAGGATATTACCTGCACTCCTTATCCACAAGCGTGCTACATAAAACGCGAGTGTCCAAAACAGAGCTTTTTGTGAAGCAACATATAAACCTGATGGGGTAGAGTTGGTCCTCTAACAAAAAAGATTACCTCGCGTACCTGAGATTTTGCTTCATATATCGCTTTCTCCATGCCATGGAAGACGGCGTAATACTGAAGACGAACCGTTTGGCGATCCTCGCAGAATTAAAAATAGAAATACGGGATGAATTTCATATTATAGTCTTGTTCCAATAGCAGCAGTAAAAACCAGTGAACCTCTTTAATTTTATGGGACAAGAATGTGGAACTAGACAGCAGGAAACAAAGTGCGGCCTAGTCGGTGATCGAAAAAATGCCACAAAATCTCACGCTTTCGTGATAAGTGCCAAAATGTTGCTGGCAAGTGGCTGTGTTGTTTTGCTTTTTTAGCTGTCAAAAGCTATACACGTTGATTACTAAATTTCGTTGTGATTAGTTTCAGAGGAATCCATCTTCTCAGTTGGCACAGCAACTGCTGTCAACCGCACACAGTCTCAGCAACGGAAAGGTTAATTGAACTTTTTCCCTGCATAAGCGATATAGTTTACTAGCGGATGGTTTTAGCCATGAGATTAGGAAAGTGGATTTGAGCTGCTCACTACCAGCCCGTAACACATTCAGTCGAGTGGTGTAGAGAAGTATATTATGAGTCCAGACAGACAACCCCGTCTGATGTTCAAATATAACGCCAGGACACACTCCAAAGAAATGTAAGTTCTGCTTTTGGAAGCGCACAACACTTATACGTTTGACAGGAAACAAGGTGAAAAGAGATTCTACAACTGTAACATACTGCTGTTGCTTAAACGACAGAAAAGGTGAAATACGGGTTCAGTTCATCCAAAAAATTTCAATTTGTGGCACGGAGGAAACGTACTGAAGCAAAATGGTTATCGCTCAAGCAAATTTGAGAGAAATATAAACGAAAAAATAAGATTTACATCAGAAAGGAATGTGACGAAATGGTATACCTTGAAGTAGCTACAGCTTGCAGAAGCAAAGGCAAGTTTCGAAAATGGATGGACGGCACGTCCGGCAATCTTAAATTTGGCAGCCCTTCGGGCCGGTAGCAATATGAAACTCAGAAACTACCCTCCAGTCAATCAGTAAGGATTTTCATTGCAGGTGAGCTCGGACTCTGATCCTTCAATCGGCAAACCCAGGGTATTTCAGTCAACACGGCAGTCTGAGAGAGTGGGTGAATTAAAAAAAGAGGCCTGGTTTCGCCTGTTACGGAGCCAACTAGGACTAAGGATGAGCGAGGGAATTCCCACACTATTGGGAAATAAAAAGAGCGGTGGACGTTGCTGCCTGTAGACCAGTGAAAATCAATGTTTTTTCATTAATAAGATAAAATTCCATTTTAGTGGAACAGATCTTTTTCGATCAAAATCTCAAAAGTTGGGTGATAACTTTAAGTAGGAAACAAATATTTTTCCTAGCATGCTTACAGAACAAGTTCAAACTCAATTTTTCCTACATTAAAATTAACATTTTGTTTAGTCTCAGCAGCTACGTAACTTTGCAGTTGAGAAGAATAGGGGTGACCCCGTGTGCTTATAGATTTTTGGGAAATCTGCTAAACGATTTCACGAAGTTTAACCGGATATAAACAAGCCCAATAAATGACTTCATTACCCGGGCACATAATGTTGATCTTCAAAGAAAAATTGACCTTCAGTCTGGCTCAATTAACAGCTTTCAAAGATATCCGTCATAACAGGTAAATATTGACCTTGTTTAAAACCATGACGTAAAACAAGAACTCTTAGATTTGCTGCAATATATATCCCTAAATCAAATGACATTGAACTGGAAACCAGCCAGTATATTCGGAGACACGCCGTACTAATATCATTTCGTCCCATATATTCTGTACTCAAATGATGGGATGCACTACGTTTCTGTAGCAACGCTGATTAGTCACTTTTTCTTTCGTTTCTTTGTGATCGTATTTCTTCCTTATTGCGAAACTTAGCCCTGATAAACCAATGCTCCGTTGTCTAAAATGCAATCAATTACTTTTTTTCCTAAAATGAATATTTGGCGTCAGAGAACGCCCGGAAAGACGGCAACACTGAAATACCGTTTATCAGATAAAAGACACTGGCAAAGGTTGCATAATCGATGCATAATTTTCTATTAGAAGAACACAGTTTCAACCCTTTTTCATCCTTGATGGCACTGAGATGATAGACATTACTGTAATTTACGCAAATTGTCTGGATGAGTAGCAGTACGTAGTTTCCGCATAAGGCATGTTACAACTGGAGTTGGAGCGAGTCATGCATCTAAGATCTTACAGCCGGTTAGGAATTTCACACAAACGTTCACGTGATTTGGTTACTTCATTCAAAATAGAGAGATTTGGGACCCAAGCAGCGAGAATTTTGTTGCAGTAAATCCCCTGTGATAAGTGCAGCAGGTTGATAAAATGGCATCGTTAGTACATCTGGTGAATAAAACGGAAAACTATGTAAACAAACCATGTGTGTCATGGTCTCAAAACATTTCAAAATTTGTCAAAGCACAAAAACAACTCTGTTTTATTTAAGAGCCCCACTTATTAGCTTATCACAGCATCCAAACACCAAAATCGGAATATCTCTGCAACCAATTGGATACTGGTTTTGTGGAAGCCAACAGTTGGCACTCTGAAGCAGCAATCATGAATACTTTGAAACATGAAATTAGCATTTTCGAGAGGACTGGTCGTTGGAAGATTGGTCCAAAGTAGATTAGAAGCACAACTATACAATAGTTTGGTTTTTCAATTTCTATCCCTTAGTGAAGATCACCCGTTATTAAGAAGTATTGTATATGTAGTGGGCCTTGGCACTTTCCTGTGTGTTCGTTGTTTCAAACCCATTAACTAGCGCTTAAGGCTGTACGGGTATTTCGGTATACAGGTGGCACAGCTGCATTTAGTAAAATCAATGAAGAGCAAAGCAAACGAAGAGTTTACAAACAGGCTCGAGAATAGCTGGAACATTTCGTAATCAGTGAATTCCAAATGGATGAAAACTGTTTGGTACGTTTATTAGAGGGTTCCTGAAAACAAAACGCACACCCAAATATTCAGATGCAATCATTTGCATTATGTTTTGGAGAGAAACAGAACAGGAAGGCATCACTTCCTTGAAAGTGACAGCCAGATCCACTCTGATAGCGCTTAACAAGATGTTGACTGACATCCCATATTCGTCAGTATGTTTAAGGTAAAAACGATACAGCCCCGGAACACCTGGAATCTGATTGTAATTTACATCAATTTGACTGAATGCTGATTGTGATGCGCCAAAGCCAGATAAGATAATAGTCTGTTCCACATGGATTAGAAGAAACTTCCGTTCCAGTTGGAAAGTGGTTGTCCTCCATGCGCAATCTTTCTACTGTTTTGAAACAAACTGGTACTGTGGGTGACCCGTTAGTTTCAGTTTGCGGACCATGTTACTGACTGAACTACTACTAGTTTGGCGCACAGAATGTATAGTTGGTAATATGTGCATAACTCCGTGACATATTTTCGATGTTTTCGATGTGCGTCAATTTTTATCGCTTTGTTCTACCATACCAGCGTACTGTTTCCGTAAACTTTACAGACGCACACGGTAAGCGGGCTGAATCGATGAATCGAATCGGTAAACGAATGCTCGTTCAGAGGTCGCTGGTCACAGCTGACCATGTCTAGTCTCCAATAGGCCTGCGGTTTCAGACAACCCATTCAGTTCAAATTAGGTTAGATCACATGCCTACAGCATGCAAAACAAACGCGGCACTCAGTCAGCGCATGGCATTTATTACACGGCTTGCGGTAATTTGACCGGACCAAAACTGTCAGGCGCGATGATGTTAACGCGTGCTTGATCTGAGGTGTTGAGCCTTCTGGTGAAACTAGGTGAACCACCAATTATTCGCACTCGGATGTGGAAACAAAGGAGCCCTGCGCAGTCTAGCCGATTAAACGGCTGCGCCATTTTTAGCAATGATCGTTCAATACTAAGCAAACAAAACCACCACGCTTGATTTTGTTACCAGGCTTCTGCCGCAAAAGGGCATTCTGAGTGCTAGATAGGCTACAGTTGAATATTACGAAACCCGTGTAGTGTTGCATGATGATTTGTCTACCCAAACATGCAGGGAAAATCACGTGAAGGTAGGACAGCCAAGTGACCACACTAAACTAGTTTCTCTAGGAATAAAACAGAACTTTTGTTGACCAGTATGCAAACCGTTTAATAGGAGTTTACCGGCGAATACTGGAGGATGTTTGTTGGTATACATATCTATATGCATTATGTAATCTTCACTTTTGGAAAACTGAAGTGGGCGATTCTGACTCAATGAACAAAATGCCTTCTTGACTCTCACGCTCTGTAGATCGAATTATGTGACGTTAACAAGCAATATATTTGAAATGAAAATCAGCATAGCACATAAAATTATAGATCGTGTAATCATTTTGTAAAAAGGACCCTCGTCTCAGATATCCGACAGGTGACCAAAAATGAAACGGCATCTCTTACTAGACCCAAGTGACAAAATATGTTTGGGTTGTTTCATCTGTGAACGAGAGCGAGTTTTGATGTACATCATCATGAGTAGCATAGATGGTGTAGGTATCTCACCAAAGGTACGCAATTTGTTACCATGTGATTTACCTGTAGCGACGTATGATTTAAGAAGTTTCTTGATACACCAAAGCCCAGTGTTTTATACCTTTATTATTGTGCCTCACTACAGTTCCTTCCCCAAACATACGTTTCATCTGCCAACGTTCAGCCTTTCCCAGCCTCTGTCGGATACGCCTACATTAAACAGTCGACCAAATTACCGGCAGACTCCCGTACGGTGGATTTAGCTCCTGCTGCAAGACAAAAGTCTGGTATGCAGAATGGCTCCGTTCAACATTTGCCTACTTACCAGAGTCAGCATCAGACAGCTCCTAAATGGACAACAGTTCGACGCGAATCTAGACCTTCACTGCACCAACAGAAGGTCACGCCAAGTCCACCGCCACTACCACCAAAAGTCTGTCCACGATATTCCATGGATAAACAACTGCTGGGCGACGGGCGTATCCGGTACCAAACAACGTCAGTAAATTCGAACGTACATGTGAAGCCAGTGGTGTCAGAAACGCCGACTTCTGGTACCCAAATGCAGCTCCTACTTGCCCCAATGTTGCAAACAAACCTTAGTAACGGGTCAGTCAAGAAGACTCAGGTACCGGCGTTCTACATGCATCCGGTTGGTACAGATATGCCACAAACTTGTGCCGTGCAACTGGTAGGTTGTAAAGTGAACTCGCTTTTCCCAAGGTGATTTGTTTTTAAGAGGGGACCAATTTAGGCCAAGCACTCGACGGCTAAAATAGTTAGGGGCAGTGTTCCCACTGGAGTGTAAGACGGTAGGTTCACTTGAATCAGCAGTTAAGCCTCAGACTGTCTACTCAAGCATTAAAACAAGTTTGTCGAGACCAAGTGGAGATCCGCTAGGGAGGGCACAACATGAATGCTTTTATGACCCACATCTTGAGTGAGGGCGACTTTGTCATATGATCAGGCTGTTTTTTACACCTTTTTGACATTAACACAGGTAGGTTTGTATTTTATCAAACAAGTTAAGGGGGATGAGTGCTTCAGGAACGATTTACATTGGTTTCGTGAGCGGGTTCGGAAAGCTGGATTTAAGTGAAGCAACAAATTTAGCGGCTGTTTCCAGACAGCGGAAATATGTTAATTTTGGAGTGGCCGGCATAGAATTTATTGTCTTCAGCAGTTAGCAACTGTCCAGCTATTCTAATTCTGGACGATCAGAGAGGAGCTTCCAAGGAGATATGATGGATACTTGATTTCACAACCGTTCGGACAGTAAATAAACTCTATTACTGTTCTGCATGTAATCAACTTACACTTCAACAAGATATGATGACATACACTGCTCATTCATTCGGCAAACGCGACTGGTATGTATATAGTGCGCTTCCTCGACCCCCAAGGGACTAGCTTTTGTCTAGAGGGCATGCTGAGGAAACGTTAAAAGGTCCTGTTTGAGTTTCGTCAAACCCCATATGTCTGGTTCATCTAGGTCAATACTTAGCAGCAGTAATGTCTAGAGAGAAATAAACCCGGAGAAATCAAATCGAAAGACGGATGGTCTATCCTTCTACGCGTGTTACTCCTGAGCGATCAAGGTGAAATAACAGAGTCTGATATCCTTTTAGGAAGTGTTCGACTTCACGGGTACAATGATTCTTCGAGGGTGACCAAAGCAGGCTTGGTCCAATGAAATCAAGAGCATATCAGATTCACAAACAATAGCTGTCTTTTCTTCCTTCTTCCGTTGTTGTATTTAAACAAAGGCAAACCACGCATTAAAAACTGACAGTGATGATATCTTTCCAAAATTTTCATAAGACCGAACTCACATTGACTCAATGAATAGAATGCATTGAATCAGCTGCATAAATTGTTTTATAGGCTTAATTTTGGAGTTCCATCCAGCTTTATACCTACACACATACGGGTCGTTTGGTTGACGTCCCAGATAGACTCAATAGGTGTAGGTCATTTTGGCTTCTCACTCGGATGACGTATTGTAATAATTACAAAGTTTGGTTAAACAAAGCTGTTTGGGTTCAGACACTGAAGATAATTATGTTTTATCCTTCAAAATTCATACTTTTTGCAGCATTTGTTGAATCTCCTAAGGCTCTCACGCTTTTTCTTTAGTTTTGAATTCAGCAGTTTTGCCTGCAAGCGAACTTTCGTTCGTACGCTGTAGACCAAATGGAAATGTCTGGCTCAGAAGTGTTGCTTGCGCAGTTCATCTTTCAGCCTTATTTTTCAGGCTTCTCACAGCCGTCGGGGTTTCCGAAAGTAAATGTGCAATAATGGTCGATAAATACTGGATCGATACGTGGTCGTAGGGACATATGTGATGTGAAATGCAGGTCAAACCGTTCGTTGACAGGTGTGTGTTAGGATGCCCTGAAAGAGACATTGAAAGACTGAAGGGCGGACGAATTCTCTTTCAATACTTCTTCAGCTGGCTAAACACAGGACAAATGACTAACAATGGGTGGAGAGCGCACGGAATGGTAATTCGGTAGGAAGGATACACACAAAGCAAGTGATATGAAGGTTTGTGGAAATAACTTCATCTGAAAATTAAGTTGGCGTTAATAGGAGATTCAACGGGATTCCAGCTGAACCTCTCCTTTAAGTTATTATTCGAATGAATAGCTGCACGAGAACTGCCATATGTCTTAGTTTGTATGACGGAAATTCGGAGAGTGAGACCACGCAATAAACCGCAAGAAGAGCATAACTGGCCGAAGCTGTCTAATATTTGTCAGCAAACTTGTGATCAATGTGTTGGGTCAAGAAGACGTGAAAGCCTGCCAGAGCATGTCGGATTTACGTGTGGCAAGTAGGGATGGCGAAAATAAGCCGATGACCCTGATAGGCAGTTTGTGCACAGAGGCCAACTTTCCAAAGCAGACTGACCCACCCAACTGCGCACTGATGATGTCTCTTCATATGGTGACGAAACGTTTGCAAGCCGATTGCCAAGCTCGGCGAACAGATCAACCGCCTCCTGATCAACAGCCAATAAGCACACCCGAGCTAACAGTATTTCAACACATTACTAACATGATGAATCGATCGAATCGATTCACCCAGGGACAACAATAAACTGAGTGTGGATCATGCCAGTCTACCAGTTTACTGATTCACTGTGCTCGCAATCACGATTCTATTATGTCCAAATGCTAGGAAACATAATATCACACTATTCTTGTAATGCACTACTCGTGAGGTTGCCGAAAACTCCTCGACAGCCCATGACCGGTTTTGCCCTTATCGGGGCACATCAAGTAGGCGCAGCCCCCGAGTTTCCGTCAACCGAAAAATGAAATTACTTTGCAAAGGAGTTTATTTCGCCGATTTCGTGCGATTCGGTTTCAACTAGAACATGAGGTTGGCGGAAGCCCGAGGACTGCGCCTACCTGATAAGTCCCAAGGAAAGCGAAACCGGTCGTGGGCTGTCGAGGAGTTTTCAGCAACCTTATGAGTGGTGCATCACAAAACTACATATGTATCGTGATATCTCGAATATCGTAGCGGCTGCAACATGAGGCGGCCTGATGCAGCACATTCAGTTGCCTGGAAACATCAAGACCGAGCGATTCAGCTGGGTTACAGGTGATTCTCTAAAAAAGCAAATTAGTTTGCAAATGAGAGTACTTCGCTGGTCACATTATTCTGTCCATTTATGATATTTCTTTGCTCTACGTTCGCTGGCTTATGTAACTGTGCCCGTATAGTTATTACTTTGGTCGTCGGTTCGTTCGCTGAGCTGGGCAATTTATTGCAAACGTTTCATCACCAATCGAGGTGACATCGACATTGCGTTGTTAGTGAACGTGGTGGGGCGTAGCGATAGGTTGGTGGTTGTGCGTTGAGTGGTGTTGTGTGTGTGTGTGTGTGTGTGTGTGTGTGTGGTAATATACATGTTGCAACCCGGGGCTGACCTTCGATCACGATTGTGCGGTTGGTCGCTTCCACTGGTTGCTCTGCCATCCTGTGTCTTGATTGATCGATGACCCCTCTGGGTTCCGGCTTGTTACCTCTGTTGATCGGACTTCAAGAAGTTCCTTGATTCTTGGTTTGTGAATCCGATATTTAGCTCTCATGGGGTATTCTGGTGGAGTAGTTCGTCTTTGAACGTTTACCAGTTTACTGATTCACTGTGCTCGCAATCACGATTCTATTATGTCCAAATGCTAGGAAACATAATATCACACTATTCTTGTAATGCACTACTCGTGAGGTTGCCGAAAACTCCTCGACAGCCCATGACCGGTTTTGCCCTTATCGGGGCACATCAAGTAGGCGCAGCCCCCGAGTTTCCGTCAACCGAAAAATGAAATTACTTTGCAAAGGAGTTTATTTCGCCGATTTCGTGCGATTCGGTTTCAACTAGAACATGAGGTTGGCGGAAGCCCGAGGACTGCGCCTACCTGATAAGTCCCAAGGAAAGCGAAACCGGTCGTGGGCTGTCGAGGAGTTTTCAGCAACCTTATGAGTGGTGCATCACAAAACTACATATGTATCGTGATATCTCGAATATCGTAGCGGCTGCAACATGAGGCGGCCTGATGCAGCACATTCAGTTGCCTGGAAACATCAAGACCGAGCGATTCAGCTGGGTTACAGGTGATTCTCTAAAAAAGCAAATTAGTTTGCAAATGAGAGTACTTCGCTGGTCACATTATTCTGTCCATTTATGATATTTCTTTGCTCTACGTTCGCTGGCTTATGTAACTGTGCCCGTATAGTTATTACTTTGGTCGTCGGTTCGTTCGCTGAGCTGGGCAATTTATTGCAAACGTTTCATCACCAATCGAGGTGACATCGACATTGCGTTGTTAGTGAACGTGGTGGGGCGTAGCGATAGGTTGGTGGTTGTGCGTTGAGTGGTGTTGTGTGTGTGTGTGTGTGTGTGTGTGTGTGTGTGTGTGTGTGTGTGTGTGTGTGTGTGTGTGTGTGTGTGTGTGTGTGTGTGTGTGTGTGTGTGTGTGTGTGTGTGTGTGTGTGTGTGTGTGTGTGTGTGTGTGTGTGTGTGTGTGTGTGTGTGTGTGTGTGTGTGTGTGTGTGTGTGTGTGTGTGTGTGTGTGTGTGTGTGGTAATATACATGTTGCAACCCGGGGCTGACCTTCGATCACGATTGTGCGGTTGGTCGCTTCCACTGGTTGCTCTGCCATCCTGTGTCTTGATTGATCGATGACCCCTCTGGGTTCCGGCTTGTTACCTCTGTTGATCGGACTTCAAGAAGTTCCTTGATTCTTGGTTTGTGAATCCGATATTTAGCTCTCATGGGGTATTCTGGTGGAGTAGTTCGTCTTTGAACGTTGTGGTGCGTAAATTGGGTCCAGTTCAATGCATCAACTCATCCAGTCAGCCGTAGAGTACCATGCGTCCTGGGAGTTCTTCGTGGCTCGTGTCTCCATAGGTCAAACTTTTTACGTTTTTCCAGACTGAATTTATGACCTTCTTGATCTTCATTTATGGACATCACGGATAGAGAATCGTACCCCCTGACGGCTGCCTTGTGTTCCTTTACCCGTGTGCATAATTTCCGTCTAGTTTGACCGACGTAGAATTTGTTGCAGTTGATTTGGTGTATCACATTGTTCCGCTTGGTTTTATCTCGGTTGTTTTTCGGTCTAGAGATTAATTTCCTTAGGCTGGCCTTCGGGTTGCGAGCCAAAAAGATTCCTTTTTGAAGCCTGGCTTATGTAACTGTGCCCGTATAGTTATTACTTTGGTCGTCGGTTCGTTCGCTGAGCTGGGCAATTTATTGCAAACGTTTCATCACCAATCGAGGTGACATCGACATTGCGTTGTTAGTGAACGTGGTGGGGCGTAGCGATAGGTTGGTGGTTGTGCGTTGAGTGGTGTTGTGTGTGTGTGTGTGTGTGTGTGTGTGTGTGTGTGTGTGTGTGTGTGTGTGTGTGTGTGTGTGTGTGTGTGTGTGTGTGTGTGTGTGTGTGTGTGTGTGTGTGTGTGTGTGTGTGTGTGTGTGTGTGTGTGTGTGTGTGTGTGTGTGTGTGTGTGTGTGTGTGTGTGTGTGTGTGTGTGTGTGTGTGTGTGTGTGTGTGTGGTAATATACATGTTGCAACCCGGGGCTGACCTTCGATCACGATTGTGCGGTTGGTCGCTTCCACTGGTTGCTCTGCCATCCTGTGTCTTGATTGATCGATGACCCCTCTGGGTTCCGGCTTGTTACCTCTGTTGATCGGACTTCAAGAAGTTCCTTGATTCTTGGTTTGTGAATCCGATATTTAGCTCTCATGGGGTATTCTGGTGGAGTAGTTCGTCTTTGAACGTTGTGGTGCGTAAATTGGGTCCAGTTCAATGCATCAACTCATCCAGTCAGCCGTAGAGTACCATGCGTCCTGGGAGTTCTTCGTGGCTCGTGTCTCCATAGGTCAAACTTTTTACGTTTTTCCAGACTGAATTTATGACCTTCTTGATCTTCATTTATGGACATCACGGATAGAGAATCGTACCCCCTGACGGCTGCCTTGTGTTCCTTTACCCGTGTGCATAATTTCCGTCTAGTTTGACCGACGTAGAATTTGTTGCAGTTGATTTGGTGTATCACATTGTTCCGCTTGGTTTTATCTCGGTTGTTTTTCGGTCTAGAGATTAATTTCCTTAGGCTGGCCTTCGGGTTGCGAGCCAAAAAGATTCCTTTTTGAAGCAATAATCTGGTTGCGAGTTCTGATACATTCTTGGTGTAAGGCAGGCTGCCCGCCTGGTGACTTGCTCTTGCTGTTATTGAGATATCTTCTTCTTCAAACTTCTCTTGATAAACTTCCTTGGATATTCATTGTTCTAGAATACTCTGAATAGATGGTTCTCCTCCTTCTTCCGTAGTTCTGTGGTGCTGCAGTGTATCTTTGCCCTATTAAACGAGGTTTGGATGCAGCTGTTCTTGTGGTCTATTGAATGATTGACGTTGTAGTTCAGTATTTGATCCGTATGAGTCTTCTCCCAGTATACGCAAGTTTCCAAAGTTCCATCCATCTTTCTGTTCACAAAATGTCTGAGAATTGCAGTCGATTTTTTCTTTTCAGTTCGATTGTAAACTTGATATCTTCAAACGTGGTGTTGAGCAGTTCCTGTACCTCATGTACTGAATCCCGTTTCATGATGACAAAGGTATCCTCCACGTAGCGCATCCACAGCTTTGGATTGATGATCGGCAGTACCTCACCTTCACACCTTTGCATTACCTCCTCAGTAATAAATCCTGATATTGGGGATCCCACTGGAGTTCCTTTCAGCTGTTGATATATTTGTCCGTCGAATGTAAAGTATGTATCCACGCAAAAGTCTTAAGTTTGCATATACATTCAGGTTCCATGGTTTCTGTCGTGTGTGGCTAATTCTGAAGCAGTTCTACTATGGTTGCCCTCGCGAGGTTGTTGTTGATTGAAGTGAACAGTGATGTGACATCAAATGAAATCATAACTTCATCGACTTCCGTACTGACTTTCCGTATTTTGCTTAGGAATTGACCCGCATTATTGAACGTGTGTTCCGATCCAGACATTGAGTGTTTCAAACTTCTCCATAAGTCTTTTGCTAATTTGTGAGATAGGATTCCCGGAAGTGAAACGATTGGTCTAAGTGGAGTTCCTTCTTCGTGTACCTTTGGAAGTCCGTAGAATTGTACAATGTTGGTATCGTCGGCTTTCATTTTCCATCGTTCCTCTCTGGTTGTCTCGTGTGCTGCTTGCGGTTGCCCGAATGTCATGTTGATTCGAGTGATGAGGTTTGAAGTTGGGTAATGGTTGATTGACCTGTAGGTTGTCGTGTCATTTGGTAGTTTTTGGACCTTTTCAATGCAATCTGGCTTGTCCATCACCACGGTTATGCTTCCTTTGTCTGCCGATATTATGATTGTTTTATCCTTTTTCTAGAATTCTGAGTGTCTCTCGTTCTTGTTTGGAAAGCAGCTGCATATGTATATTTTCTGTGCGATTGCCGGTATGATGGTCTGTGTGATTTGTTGTTGAACCTCTGATTTCAAGAAATGTTCTGTAATCTTTGTAGGTAATCTTTGTGGGTAATCTTTGTAATCTTTGCCATCTTTGTGGGTGCGTCCTCGACGTTGAATTTGA